AATTTAAATTTAAATTCTAATATTAGTTTATAGACCCAAAGTTTATAAGTCAAAAGTTTACATACCCGTTTCAAATTTGAATTTGAATTCAAATATTTTTTATAGTATTTCTATACATAAATTTTTTCTAACTTTATTTTTTTCTTTTTATTTTTTGTGGTGTACTGTATAGGAAGAGAAGGAGGGGAGGAGGAAGGGGAGAAAGCGCATAGGGGGGAGGGGAATGAGGGCGCGCATTAGCAACACCCACGCCTCTCCTAGTCTTTTCTGTGACCGAGGCTTAAAAAAACAAAACAGAAAAAACATAGCCGCCTCTCCTGATCTTTTCTGTGACCGAGGCTATAAAAAAAGAAAAGAAAAGGAAAAAGAAAGAAAAGAAAGAATTTCCCGCTTCTCTGCTTGCTACCGCCGCTTTACTTTTGCGCTCTCGTCGTCAGCCATTGCTCTTTGATGATGTCATCTTTGTCGGACATAGTTTCAGTTTCTTGTTGCCCGGTTATTTTTGATGGTGTCAACTATAATCATTGGACTCAGCATATGCGTCTTCACATGCGTGGTCAGCGTCTTTGGGATGTTATTTCTGGTGAGCTACTTTTTCTGGCTTGCCCCGAGGTTCCTTCTGCCTGTTCTTTCGGGTTAGCCTACTGATGAGGACAGAGCAAAGGTGCGAAAGACTTATGCTGATGTTATGGAGACTTATCAGAGTCAATATGCTATGTACAAGGCTTGGTTAGATGAGGATGCTCGTGCTTCTGCTATTCTTGTGGCTAGTATGGAGGTTCATCTTACTGGCGATGTGGTCATCCTTGCTTCTGCTCATCTTGTGTGGACACACCTTCGTGATCGTTATGTGTCTATCGGTGATGCTCTTTATCTTGCTATGGTGCGTCAAGAGCAGTCTTTACAGCAGAGGGATGCTTTAGTGGATGAGTTCTATACACAGACTACACAGCTATCCTCTATTTGGTGCCAGCTTGATTCTTTGGTCCCTGATGTTTGTCGTACCTGTAAGTGTTGTCAGCGTCAGCGTTCTCACATGGATCTTCGTCGCATCTATGACTTTCTCACTCGTCTTCGCTCCGAGTATGAATCGACTCGTGCACAGTTGCTTGCTCGACACCCTCGTGTTACTTTGATGGAAGCTCTTCCGGAGATTCGTCTTCGTGAAGCGGGTGCTCTAGTGCTTCCTTCTGGCTGTTCGTACTACAGCTTCGGTACCTTCATCACCGACAGCCGCTTCCTTTACTTTGCCATCACGTACTTCTTCACCAGTTGTGCTATCTACCAGTAGTCATCTTTATTACACTTATTATGATAAGGATGGACATGTGGAATCGTTTTGCTTTTGGAAGAAGGATTTGCGACGTGGTCGTTCTTCACAGGTTACCAGAGGTTCTTCTCCGAAGAGTACTCCGAAGAGTACTGGTAGTTCTTCTTAGAGGAGTGTACTGGAAGCTCAGATACATAGGAGAACCTTACGTTGCTACGTCGCCTCACTGCCTCTGCTTCGACTGGTTCAGTTGGTTCAGTTGCTTTGCCTTCTACACACTCGGGCTCTGTTGTTTCTGGTTCTCACCGTTCCACTGAGGGATCACCATCTGCTTCATTGTTGCCCTTTTCGCCTGGTTCATTGGCGCGTTCCTGTTGAACTTGATATGGTCTCCAAGTCTTAGAGATGTGCTGCTGGCTGCATGTTGATTTTTCACCCAAAATATCCAGCATGGCTTGGTCCAATAAACACTGTAAGGATGTCGACTCTGGCTGTGTTCAGTGGTGGGTGTTGGGAATCTATCACCCACGCATGGAAAACGGAGCAGTCCATTAGCGCGTGATTAATTAAGTATTAGCTAATTTTTTTAAAAAAATGCATCAATATGATTTTTAAGCAACTTTCGTATATAATTTTTTTTTTGCAAAAAACACACCGTTTAGTAGTTTGAAAAACGTGCACGTGGAAAACGAGAAGAGAGAGTTGGGAACTCGTGATACCGAACACAGCCTGAATGTTTGCATGTGTATGGTGAGCTATACTGTGTTTAAGTCAATCTGAGGAACAGCAGCATAGCTGCTTTGGGTTAATCATTCTTCAGAAGAGTCCAACCATGACGAGCACATGTTTGAATCAGTTTGAACTGAATATGTGGATGTGTGATTGAACAGGTGTTTTGTTGGAATCAGTACAACCATGATGAGCGCAGTATTGTTGACTAAAATTAGATTTGTGTTTGTATAATCAAACCCTGTTGCAATTAATTAAGTCAAGTTAGTGAGAATTGGGCGTACGGCTATATATAACGGTTCTGTTTCGTAGCGTATCGATTAGAGAAATGGATCATGCGCACCTCATAAAAAAAAGGGGAAAAACGGGATCCTGCTGCCATGATGAACCTCGTCCCCCCGCACGTCTTCTCATAAAAAAGTCTACCTGTTGCTGTATACTTGGAAAGTATTTCAATATCAGAAATGTATAAAGAAGAGTATTCTAAATAAAGTATAAAGCTTACAAAAGAGAAGAGAAGAGCTACTAGAGCCATACCCAAGCTCTTCTGAAGTCTTCTGGACTTTGATTTCTACTCTATTCCTATTCCATTAGCTTAAGAACACTAAACTAAACTTTAGAGAATATGAAAGAGTTTTGCTTGAGGTGTGTGAAGAGAGCTCTTCTGAAGTCTTCTGGACTTTGATTTCTACTCTATTCCTATTCCATTAGCTTAAGAACACTAAACTAAACTTTAGAGAATATGAAAGAGCTTTGCTTGAGGTGTGTGAAGAGAGTGAGGAGGTAAAGTCCTTTTATAGCTGCTAATGACGGTTGTGGCAGTTGGAAATGTCCTAATTGCCCTGCAACCGTTCATGGGGATGAATCCTGGACGTCCACACAAAACCCCAAGATGGACGGCACTAATGGGGGTTCGGCCGAACCACCAGGGGCTAGGCCAAACCAGCCCATCCTTGGCTGGCGACCTCCTCCACTGCTTCTCTCCGTAGACTTGTGAATTTTTGGCCCAATTGGTCGTATCATTTCTGAGTTCTTGGCACATTCATACATAAGTCTGGTTTTCGACATCGTTCAATTGATTTATTGTCTGATTCGATGTCAATTCTCCTTCACTTTATGGTTATTCTCTGCAAAAAGGTTAGTAAACATAATACTAATGGAATATTATTATTCTAAATTGAATATGCATTGCAAGAATAACTAGTTCTCCTCTATTTTGGTAATATTGACGGTCGAAACTGATCGCTAACGACCATCAACAGTGGGTCAGCTCCCGCCTTGCCCACCCCTTGACGAAGGGGACGTGGGGTGGCTTCGTGATTGAGCGGTGGAGTTGGGCTTGCCTCAACGGGGATTAGGAAAGCGGCGAGTTTCCGAACCTCGGTGAAAAATCTCTTGTCTCCTTGTCTCATTTATTTATCGCATTTATATTTGTGCAATTTACATTGATAGAGACATACTTGAGATCATATCACCCTAGGATTGCTAAACTGAACTTAGGAGTGTAATTTACTTTCCTAGAGATATAATTGAGCCACTATCACCCTAGGTTTGTAAAACATAACTTAGTTGCTTAGTTAGACTTGACCCTCACCGAGCCTAGTAACTTAGGTTAGTTTTGATTAGGTGTCATTTAGTTTTAAATCGCCTATGCACCCCCTCTAGTCGAAATCTCGATCCTACACCCTAAACCGAAATACTAATATAAAGCATCCCTGATTTTGCAAAACTAGGTCAAGTTAGGTCCCAAGGAAACATTGCTCCTCGGTTTTGGTGACGTGGACGATTGAGTCAGCGTGGGCCAATATGGGCCCCACATGTTAGCCGATAATCTTCTTCCACCTATCTCCTGTCTCTTCCCATCTCAACCCAAAACTCCAGGGCAGCCGGCAACATGTGAGGAGAAAAGTGGTGGCTAACGGCCGCGTCATGCACATGCGCGTGCAAAGAGCGGCCGAGCTCGGTGAAGAGTGCGGAGAAGCGAAGTAGGAAGGGCTCCCGGCACGTCGTCCCCTCAGGGCACACCGCCACGCCGTTGTGCGGCAGCTCGCGCGCATCTGCGTCTTGGTCACGTGTCAGCCACACCATCGGGATTGGTGAGAGGATCTCCTAAGAGACGGGAGATGGAGTACATTGAGATGCCTGAGCACGGTCACGAGCACCACCGGCTCCATGAGTGTCCGTGCGTGCACATGAAGAGGACGTCGAATGTTGAATCAAGGGAGAGCTACTCGGTGGCCGGCGGCGGTAGGTAGAAGCTCGACAGCGACGACCAACGATGGGCGGGGAGAAGGCTGGCAGCTGTCGAGAAGCTTGATAGTGGCGGGCGACAGGGAGAAGGGCGTAGGCATCGAGGATGATGTAACCACATCGTGGTGTAAATGGAGTTGATCTCGAAGATGATGCGGCGGAGCCGCGCGTGCTCCTCCGCGGAGGAGAGGCAGAGCTCGGGGACACCTGAACACATCGACTTTTGAGTAGCTCAGCAGGGATGGCCCTGAGCTCGAGGGATAGGAGCTTGGCCAGCGTGACGAGGCGGAAGCCCTAGCCCTCGCGCACATAGGTGAAGACGACGTTGCTGTTGTAGTTGGGACCTGCCCGTACCACGCGTGCACAAGTCCATGACGCGAGCGCTCCAGGCCGTTGGGAGCTTTTCCCCACCGGCTAACACCATTCTCCCCACCGATTCACGGCTGCCCTAGAGGTTTGGGTTGAGATGGGAAGAAAGGGGAGTGAGGTGGAAGAAAATTGCCGGCTGACATGTGGTGTCCACGTGGGTACCATACTGACTCAGCCGTCACGTTAACAAAACCGGAGAGCATACCTTGAGATCAAATGTGACCCGTTTTACAATATTAGGGATACATTACATCTGGTCTTCCGGTTAGGGACAGTTTTAAAACTCGACGACAAGATAAGGGACCTTAGGTGAACTTCTTCCGAGATGAAAAATTTCCAGCCTCATGGGCCTGTGCATATGATATGACCCATAGGCAAGCGGGCACTGCGGCAGCAGAGCGCTGCACAATCGACCTCCGCCTCCCCAATCCATCCCGTCTCGTCGCCCGCCGCCGTCGACGACTCCCGTCTCCTCCGCCTGCCGCCGGCGCCGATCTCCATCCTGCTAGCAGAGGTGGCGCCGGCGTTCTCCTGCTCCCGCCGCATCATCGCTCACCGGTGAGCATCCTAATCCATCCCGTCCGGCCTCGAATTTCGGTCTCCTCGCCCGCCGCTTGTGCCGAACCACCCCAATCCGGCGAGCAGAGGTCGGCGCCCGTGGTCCTCCTGCAGTCCTGCTTCCGCCGCATCGTCGCTCGCCTGTGAGCATCCTTCATAAGGTATTTTGTGTTTTTCTCGAGACATCGAACCAGCCTCGTCGTCGCCGGCGACCGCCGCCGAGGATGCCGGTGAGGGTGGTAGACACCGCAACCCCTTCCTCCCAGCCCTCATCAGGTTCGTCCACCTCCCCTACCTTCTCTATGCTAATGCACCCAACCCCTAATTTGCTGTGTAATCCAAGTTTTTTTGGATCTGATATAGCCTAATCAGGTATCTTCTAGGGTTTGATTTAGTGCGATTTTAAGGTCTATTGGTAATCTAGATTGGTCTGAGTTGTACTGGGGTATATGTGTTTTGATCCTTTTGGAATACTCAATTGTTATAATTTTGGCCACTGACGCAATGCATTATTTGGGGAGAGCTCGGATGGTTTTGTAGCTAAGTTGCCAACTGCTTGTAATGTATTGTATGTTTTTAAGGCGTTGCAATGCTTGTGGTTTTGTGTCAAGTGTTTTCTGTTTCAGGAGGCCTTCTAAATAAATAAACCAATTGTTGTTTTAGTTCACCTGCAATTGAAATTCATTAGTTATTTTGTATGAATTTCTGGCAATAGATAGCCCACCATGCCAATGTGCCATACTGATTAAAATGTTGCAGGTCAAGATGCAAATGCTGGGCATCCGTCTCCTCCTAGCTGTTCCCTCTTAAGTGCTGGAAGAGTAAGTCTTTTTGTGTTGTTATTTGGAACTTGACCAAGGATCAAATCTTCTTATCGGTGTGGTTTATGGAACTGACCATATGCTTGTACCATCTTTCAGTGTTATGCTGGAACCCAGAATGTCTCTAATATACAAAAAGAAGAAGCTTGGAAAGTTAATGTGCGGATCCATGGCTGTGATCTTGAACAGGGTTATTTATGTGGAACAATGGAAGCACTTAATGTTCCCTTAGCTGATACCCCTGTGAGCAACCTACTTCATTTTCCACTTTGACTCTGATCTTTATGTTCCAAAATTGTTCAACTTTGTTTTCCACTTTGACTCTGATCTTTATGTTCCAAAATTGTTCATTAAGAATACATTTGTATACTAATTCAGTAGGCAAACAGTTTGTCCGATAAAATTTTAAAATATGCTATGCTTTACTTCTTGTTCCCATTATCTGATTTGCATAGCAATTTGCAAATAATTTCCATAGGTGGTAACGTTCTGGGAGGGGGAGATAGTGGATGCTAAAAATTATACATTTTTCACTGGCAAGTGGGAAGCATCGTGAGTATTTAACTATTTACGTTTTATCCTTGATACTATCATCTACTTGTTTTATTAATAGATGCCCAAGTGTATGGTAACAGTCCAAACTTACTCATGAAACATTACTCCTGCTTCTGCTTTTGCAGCCCAGAGGATGATATTAGACACTGGTCCAAGTTCCCATCATTTACGCCTCTTCTGGTATTCTGTTGCCTATCTTCGTGTTGTTAGTTGCCACGATTTTTTTGGATACATTTCTCACTTATGTTTTTCCACAGAGTCAGATTGAGACAGATGGTGGCAAGTCCGTGGACCTCAGCAACTATGCTTACATATTCATGGTACTGCACCATCTGACCTTTCATGTATGTGCACCATTTATTGAATTACAAAGCCATAACAACTTAGCATTATTCTGATGCTACATGTAGAGATGGAAAGAGCAGTACTTTGTCAATGTTGGAGTGGACTGTGGGTTGACCATAGCTGGTTTCTACTATGTCTGCTTTTCATGTAGCGACGGTTCCATTAGCGGGTATTATTATGATCCAAACAGCAGGTAATGTATATTTTGCTGGCACTTTTTATTGCGATGTTACAACTAAATTCTATCGAGGAATTGAAGTGATATAAATATTTCCTGCTCTCTCAATTTACAGTCCGTTTCAGAAGCTTGAACTGAAGTGTACCAATGAGAAAGATTCTGGATTTACCTTTTCGTCCTACGAGCTGCAGTGAGAGACTGACAGGCCTGCTGTCATTATAGTATGTGCGGATGTTAATATACACAATGTATGTACTGAACTCATAATTCTGAATGGTGTCCCATTAAAAGGGCTGAGATGGCATGTTTGTAACAGTGATTTGGAGCAAGATGTATTTTATTTTCTTTGTAATATGAATATAAGCTGGTAAACTTTCTAGTTTGAACTACTTGTGTGTTCTTTTTGTGCTAATCATGGCATGGTTATGTCCAAAATAAATAAGACAAGAATGTGAGGGCTAGTTGCTCGTTCAAAGAAATATATACTTCTTTCCAGAGTAATTGTAGTTCTGCAGTTGGAGGATTTTCGTTTTGTTTCAATATTTCTGTTCTGCCTACATTGTGGAATTTGTGGTCACTGATTGTGAATCTAATCTCTGGTACTGAGCTTTATCTGAAGAGACACTTAAGATTGCAATCTTGTACATTAGTTTCTGGTACACAGCCACATAAACCTCCTTTTGGTTTCACATGCAGCCTGCCATTGTAAGGTATGATGTAATTCTATGAACAAAGTATACTTGGGGCAAACACTCTGTCTTCGCCTCCGGTCTTCGGACATTGTAAGGTAAACATCTCTCTCTACTTATGTTGTTTCATAGAGTCTTGATCTCGTGCTTCAAGCCGTAGTCAATTCTCTAATGAGAATTCTTCTGCATCTTCATTGCACAGGCTTCAAGTTATTGCTAAACCCTATAATAATATTCTGCAGATAGGACTACCCTTGCATACTTGGTGAAACTTACCTTCATAAACACAAGGATGGGTGGACAGTGCAACAGGATGGAGGTAACTCTTCTCTCCTTTCTGGCAGAAACCAAGAAAACACTTCCTTTGCCCTCTGTACCAAAGGCCTCTCAACATTCACACACCAGGCATAAAACATATCGAGGGCAGCCTCAGTAATGACTTTTGAGAGTACTTTATCACCTTCTCCAGGTGCCAGCTTCAGCATCAGGTATCTATTGAACGATATGATCTTCTCTAACATTTGCCTTCTGCCAATATTATATGATAACATTGCGTCTTGGATTATAGAGACCATCCTGAGGACTGCCTCATAGACTATAGCATATGCATGACTGAATATCTCGGTTGCTGTTTCCCACAGTTCTTTTCTGTGCCAATCATTTTTTACAGTTTCTGCCCCCTGTTCTAAGATTGGCGCAAATGTTACAGTCTTCGGTTTGGTTGTGTTGACACGCAGCTGCTTCGATTCCCTCAGCATGGCTTCCTTCATTTCTGACTTAAACCTGCTGCTGATCTTGAAGTATTGTTGTTCATTGTGTGCAGTTGGGCTCGGGAGTGGTGAATTTTGCCTTGGTGATGCTTCCATGTATACCTCAGGTGCACATGCTGATTCACACGCTACAATTCACATGGAAAACACATGTATTACTCTTCATCATAACAAAATTATACTGGAATTGATATCTTGACTGAATTTAACTGGAGAAGAGGTGGTGCTCTTCTTTTTTTTTTTTCATTTCAATTAACAGATTGTCCAATGTATGCAATATTGTGAAGTCTGGCAGACATACAGGAATGGGGATGGATGTCGAGCTGTGCTTGGGGATCCGTAGTCTGCATTGTTGTGCTCATTGCTGCTGCTGCCGTCTGCACTGGGTCCTGCATGTCCTCTTGCGGCTTCTTCTTGTGATGCAGTAGGTGCATCCATTTCTTAGCCTTGCTCTTCACCTTGCCGAGAACCGGCTTCTTCTGGCTCCCATTTGGGGTCCGCGGTGATCCCATCGGACTCTCCGGCTGCTGTTGATTTGGATGACGTGGATGAACCACAGTACAGGAAATTGAGTTAGTGGGGATCACTTGTAAAGTATTATAGGATAAAAAAAGAAATAGCAGTCAAAACTTTCAGTCTTTTTTATGGGCCTTCTGGCTTTAGATCGGCCTGAACAAGGGCCATGAAAGTCCCCGAGGACTGGCCTAGTAATCAACATTCTTGAAGACCCATATGGCAAGTATCAGCCCAACAGGGCGACTGGACATGAAGCTTTTTACATTGAAAAAAGTTCACTTTTACGGCGAGTTTGAATCGCGTTTCTCAACCATAAAACCAAGGTATAACTCATCTCTTATCTCCTAAAATCAATGAAAATGAGGTCCTAAGGCGGTACTGAGGTAGGTTTTACTGACATGGTGCCTGGGTGACAGTTTGACTTGGCACTTATCCCATGTAACATTGATGTGATAGTGGAAACAAAATTATTTGTTTCAAAAAAAAATATGTGGGGCCTATATATCAATCAAACAAAAAGATTATAACCCACATGCCATTGACATCCACTTCTTCCTATTCTACCCCTACCATCTTTTCTCTCCACCAGCGAGCAGAACGAGTCGATGACGACGGTAGGCTGGGAAACGTGCTCATCACTGATGCTGGTGACAAGGACGGTGGAAGCTTCCACGCAGTACAACATGGTAATTATATATAGCCTAGAGATCCCTCCTCCCTCTCCCCTTTTCTCTCCCTTTATCCCATTATCCCAGTGAAGAGAGAGAGAGAAAGAGAGGCAGACGACGGCAAGGAGGAATGGAGATTTGGGGTGGGGGTGCATTGTTGATGTGACACAACTCTTCTCGGGCCGATGTTCCTGTTGAGATCCCACACGGTTGGTGCCCTCATGGAACAAGGATAGGAGGTGGTGGGATCACACTGTGGTCGATGGGCCCAAATCCATGCCGTGAGCCCATGACCCACAAGCCTAGTGGACACAGGATGGTGGCGCTAGCGTTCGGAGAAGGTGGAGGAAGCTCGTCGGCCTCCCCGCTAGTCCCTCAGCAGCGCTTCCTTTATATGCTGGCCTCTCGTCAGTGTCGTCCTTCATCGTTGCCAACTCCAGCTTGTTTAGCGCACCGAGGTGGATGCCACCACCAAGCTCCTCCTTCTCGCCCCACCTCATGCCTTCCTCCCGCAGTGGCAAGGCTTGGGGTTCTAGGACAATGGAGTCCTGTCGCGCGCCCGATCTAAGGCCTGCTGCCCTCCACCACCACGGGCAGTGCTGGGGAACGAGCTTCACGCAACATAGTCTGCCACTTGCCTTGAACGTCGACGAGAGGGGGTCTGATAGGCTGGCACCTGCACCTCCACCATAGGGAAGCCATGAGTTGTGTTGTCATTGTTGACATCAACGCCAATGAGCGCCCCATCAAACATGGGCGAAATGTGTCCAGGCAATGGTGGTGATCCTCCTCCAACGCAACTCATGAGGAGGCTGATGTATCGCCGGTGTTGGCGTCGACGCCGACGAGCACCTCTCGTTGAGCTCACCACCTTGAATACAACATGTGTAAGAAGAGAGGGAGAAGTAGATGAAGGATATCTCGGTGACATGTAGGTCCCGAATTAGGGATTTTATTTTTATTTTCGCATGTAATGCCTTGTAGGATAAAGACTAAGTCAACAAACCATATAGATGTCACGTGAGTTGAAACTGACCTTAATACCGTTTGGAATCTCGTTTGCATTGATTTCGAGAGAGAAAGGATATTAAGGGACACGATTCAAACTAAACACTTAGACAAAGAACTTAAAAGTGAACTTTTCCTTTTACGTTAACCGGGATCTTATCTGCTGATCACACAGAATACGTAAGCACTTACAACTTGCAAGTTGGAACTCTCACATCTCACAATGTGACACCGAATAAACATTGCATGTCTCTCTCAATCTCAAAAAAGGAAAAAAAACAGCACTGAATATTAATATAAGTGCAAAGAAAACGAAGTGCATATTTGCAAGCAACTTTTTTCTTTTGCTTCTCCTTTTTTTGCAAGAAGTGTGTATCTTCTTGTTATCCTAGTGAAGTTAACAGCACGATCCCGCGCATGTACGTACGTACTGCATCTAGTGATAATCCACTCGCCAAAGGATCTGCAGCGTCCCAAGCCAAATCCAACATCACGCAAGCAACTTACCTGCTGCTTTTTTTTGGCCATGGCATAATTTTCTAAGATAATAAAAAATATTAAACCCCATCAATTATATAAGATGATATAATATCGTACTAAGAATACTACTAGCCTCTCTGTAACTAAGATGCACGCATAACCAAACTACTTCCTTCGTACTTGTAAAGGAAATTGTTTAGAACCATGTTTAAGTCAAACCTTAGGAATATAAATCATGAATAACTCTTAAGTTGTTAAGTTTGAAAATGTAAAAATTATATGAATAGATTTGTCTTGATGGAATGCGCAAATTTAATTCCAACAACCTAGAACAATGTATAAAACACAAAAATCCCAACTTGCACAAATCCTTTCCATACTTTTCGAAAAACTGTCGCATTAATCCTTTCCATAGAGCGTGACACTTGGGGTGCGGGCGTGTGGCTAGCACTGATGAGACATGACCAAGCTATGCAAAAATGGAGTACACACTTGGAACATTCTGTCAAAGGATTAAAACTCGTTCCCCTATTGTGACCACGCATTGGGAGCTGGCCATCCGCAGCATGCGAGTACCCTCCATCTCCTAGTTGCAGCCATAACAGCGAATCATTAGCTAATTTGGTCTCGTTGTTTTCTGATTAAGATACATGTTTTCTGATTAAGATACATATTTGATTCTTGTTAGCACGTTCTTCAAACTAAACTGTATGTTTCATATTAAAACTTTTTATATAGGTTGCTTTAAAATACCATATAAATCCAATTCTCAAGCTTAAAAATATTAAAACTTAATTAATCATACGCTAATGGTTTTCTTATGTTACGTATATCGGTATATGTATTTAATTTTTATCCATTATCCATTGCAGGTTTGAGCCGGGCGCAAGTCGAAGAAAAGATCATAAAACGATGGATCGATCGACATCAATCTTGGGGAGGAGGAGAGGAGATTGGATCAGTAGGAGTGGAGATGCCACCGCAAATCAAAATATCAAATCGGGAAAAAAGATGATCGATCGATGAGCTATACAAAGATAGATAGATAGATAGATAGATAGATACTAGGCTGAGAGATGCACATAATGGCCTCCAAAAGTGCAGGCCTAACGGTGTACACGGCCCCGGTCGAAACGGCGCCATCGCTGCACATACCCCCGGATGGATTAATTGTTGGATTGTCACCAACTCGATCGACGGCGCAATCATGTCGGGGGGTCCAAAGCAAGCCCCGGAACAGTGCCCGGATCAGCTTGGGCACAAAACCTTTTTAAGCGCCAATTAGAAACTGGCCTAAAAGAATAGGAAATGGAGAAAAGGGCACACAAGTTAAAGTTTGGTTGCTACTTTATACTGTTCATTTTTGGGTACAGATTTGCATCGGTAAAGAGTGGACTAGGTTTTTTTATGGGGTTATGTAGATACTTTCTTCATGCTAAAATAAAATAATCTAGGATGTCACTCTCATTTTATTATTGTAAATCTGGACAGATAGAATATGTATAATCTCATCTTCTTTTGCCATATTCTGTTTAGATTCGTAATAATAAGACGAGTCTATTTTTTTTTTTTGGATTTTGTTATATTTTGGGACGAAGGTATTATATAGTTTGATCCAAATTTTAATGTATGCAACAAACTGAAACTGTTCAATTGTTGTCAGGCCAGGACAACTGGAAAGATTGTAAGCGGCATATTTAAAATTTGTCAAATGCAGTAAAACAGCCCTCCGAATTAATTCAAAAGGCGACGCACTGAAGCAGCCATTTTTTTTAATTTGAAGAGGAATCAAACCATCCTTTTACACCTCACATTTCTCTAATTTTCTTGGTTCCTGATTATTTGAATTTTCTAAACACAACATTAATGCATACACTCGTCTCTACAAGCATTATCAAGATTAAATCAACATATGTTAAGATTAATAAATTCATCACATCCATTTTGTTATCGACGAGTACATCACTATCAATAGATGGAAAAATAATTAGCTATAAATACAAACAGGCATATAAAAAATTGAATACAATGAATATGTTCTACCCCCAAAGAATCTAACATGCCGAGCTAACTCAGTTCGTGGAATTTTTATTTTCTTGGTTCTGAAATCCACGGTGGCCACATGGATGCTGTTCCAAATCCAATTGTATATCTAGCTAATAAAGTGTGTGTGAATATAATTAGCTCGGCGTGGGAGCACAAAGATAAAAAGCACATAAAAATAAAACAAAAGGCAAATGGGCGCGGTCGCATCAGTTAATCCGACAATCACTCTTCACCCATTATGCTAAAAACGAGCTTTCGCCACTAATCAAGCCCAAAATTAGTGGGAGGCACAAAAGAACATAGGCTTTAATTAAAGGAAGAGCAGCTCGTTGTTAAAGTGTTTAAAAATTGGCCAAATTGATTGAAAACAACAAGAAAAATGTTTGAAATAGACACATGCACAATCGCCATAATTAAAAGATCAGGCCAAAGTAGGCAACTGAGTGCAAACCTTGCCCCGTAGTATATATAGTAGCAACCATTAATTATTTACACTAATTGGCACCATTATATATATAGCTAGCTAGGAGAAATGTAGACAAAAATAAAATTTTTAAAAACCAACAATGCATGCATGCCAAACGAAGAACACAACATCCACAAGGGCACACACAAAAGCTTAAGAAATTCAAATCTAATAAAAACTCGAAACTTTAGATCAAAAAAGTTGGCATCATCACTGTTCATTCCTCTAAACAATATTTACACTTGGCATAAACATCTCTGATGATCTATGAACAACCAAAGAACCAACACATTCTTTCTTCTTCTAAAAAAACAAAAAAAAGGCGAGCAGCTCAGTCGATCTCACGAGGTCTCGATCGCCGCCGCCGGCCGGAGCAGGTCGTACTTGGCCCAGACGGCGTCGAGCGGGCACGGCTTGCCGGCGTCGAGCCTGTCCCATGGCTTCCCCTTGCCGCTCCAGTGCAGGAGGCTGACGGCGCCGGCGTGCAGGCCGCGGCAGAGCCCCCGGTAGTTGTCGCCGCCGAGGCCGTGCTGGTTCCAGCGGTGGTCGACGGCGGCGATGCGGCCGGCGAACACGAGGAGGAACGGCGGCAGCGAGCCCAGCTCGTAGATGCGCACCCGTCTCTGCAGCTCCATCCACTCCTCGATCTGCGCCGTGTACCCCGCGCGCCGCCACCGGGGCAGGTCGAGCACCATCACCCCCGTGTTGAAGTAGCACGCGCGCCGCCCCGCGAACGCCGCCTCCGACAGCGCCCGCGACGCCCAGAACCCCGGCGTGAAGTAGGCCGTGAAGTTGGCGCCGCAGTACTCGGGCGCCGCCACGGCCGCCTCCCCCGGGAGCGGCGTCGCGGCGAGCGCCGCGATGTCGTCGGTGACCACGACGTCGGAGTCGAGGTAGACGACGCGGCGGACGCAGGCGGGGAGCGTGGTGGCGAGGTAGGAGCGGGCGTAGTTGAGCGGGCGGTCGAGCGCGCCGCGGATGGAGGTGGAGATGAGCCCCGCGACGCGGGACTCGTCGAACGGGTACACCCGGAACGCCAGCGACGGGAACGACGCCCGCACGGTGTCCCTCAGCTCCCGCACCGCCGCCGCCGCCTCCGGCGACGAGGAGGAGGAGGCGAGGAAGTGGAAGTGGACGGACTCCGGGCAGGAGGCGTGGCGGAGGACGGAGAGCACCGCGGCCATGGTGCCCCTCAGGTACGGCGCGTCCAGCGTCATGGCCACGTGCACCGCCGCGTGCGGCGAGCACGCCGCGTCCGCGTCCGTCGCCGGCAGCGGCGGCGGGCACCGCGCCGCCGCCGAGTTGGTGAAGTGCGGCGCCTCCCTGTACTCCGGCACGGCCACCGCCGCGCCGACCCCCAGCATCAGCAGCAGGACGAGCAGAGGAGCGCGCGGCATCTGAGCTAGCTTGGCCATGTCGTCCATGTCCTCGCGTGTTCGCGTTTGCGTGTGAGAGACTGAGAGGAGAGCGCGCGCGCGCGCGTTTTATATACGGCGCGGCGCGGCGTGGCGTGGCGTGGCGTGGCGTGGCGTGGCGTGGCGCGGCGCGTGGAGAGGCGCGTCAAACTGGGGGGTCAAACTGTCAAAGGCTTTTTGGGAGGGGGGAAAGCGTGTTCAGACTTCAGACACGTGACGCGTACAGGAGTGGTACTAAACGGGTTTGAGAGAGGACGCGTGATTAATGGAAGGGGGTTAAATGCTTAACTTCGCGTGAGGATGGGATTACCGGCACGTTTGGCGTTTTTACTACAAGTAGCGCATAGTATGCTATTTTAGGGTAAAAAAGAAAGATTTGCAAGTGGTGATGCTATTGGAAGGGAGTGTAATTAATCATGCCTAGGATGGTTCTCTTCTTTTTTTAAGTATAGCTTTTACATGTTTACCTCATGTTGGTTTGTTTAATTGGGATTGAGACCATCTGATAAGGAGTGGCACTTGGGTTAACTGTGAGTAACTCAACAGAAATTATGTTAGTTCCAAGGTTGTCAGGATCGGGATACTAAGTAGTACTCCCTCCATCTACTTTTGATAGTCATATTTCATCTTGATACACAGACCAATGATAAGTAATTCTACTTATCATTCATTTAAGCATGCTACTAGTCATTCCTCGTAAACAAGCGATTCATTAATATTTACATTTCTCAAAGCCCATATAGCCAATCATGTGTGGAAGAATGGAGAGTCACGCATTAAATTCGAGAAAATCATTAAGATGATAGGTTGTTGGATTGAAATATGCCTATCAAAAATAAAATTTTCAGATTTGGAAATATGACTATCAAAAATAGATGGTGGGAGTATCATTTTGCTCAAAGTAATATCGAATCGTAGGATCGTATCGTAGTATCGGGATACTATGAGATTTTTTTTAATTTTAATTAATATTTATATTAATTATATATAGCCATTCTATATAAAAAATATAGTAATGATATATGTCATGCAAATAAAGACATTTATCAAGAGAAACCACGTTGGTTTTGATATATTGAACTGATTTTCATATAAATTTGAGTATATTTAGTTACATTATTTTTTAAACCATGTTATTTTAAATAATATTGTAGTATTGTAGGGATCGTAGAATCGGGATACCATATAAGATTTTGTAGGATCGTGTAGTAATGAATAGTAGGATCGCGATATTATAAAAATTAGGATACTAGGTGGGATCGGTATCGTTTCGTCTCGGTAGGATCATAATATCGTAAGATACTAGATACGAATCGGGATAATGACAACCTTGGTTAGTTCTAAAAAACAGAAATTATGTTCTGTTTAAATTTCGCATGAAGTTTTGTCACTAATAAAAAAAGACGTGAATATTAGGGCATGACCTAATATTAAATAATTAGAAGAGGTGAGACATCGAACTCAGGTTGTCTAGCCAACCACCTTGCGAAGCTAGTCGGAAAACCCCTAAATGTTTCTCGAGTTTTGTTCCTAGTAAATGGTTTAATTTTTTCACATGACTATTTTGTTCTTCGTTGCCCTCAATTATAAGGAACAACATCACACATTTTGCCATCGGTTCTCTTCCTGCGCTTCTAGGGCTTCTTTACCACAGTTGCAACATAGAACATACCTGTTCTCATGTTTTTTTTACTTTGAATCAGGTAAACTTGCAATCCCTTTGTCTCTAGTTAGGCTACATTTGTCCTTTTTGTCATCACTATTTCAAGCCAACCAACGACCACCATTGCAAGCTACCTGCCACAACCTTAGGCCTTGTTTAGTTTATGAAATTTTTTTGGGTTTGGTTATCATATCGGATATACAAACACACATTTAAAGTATTAAACGTAGCCTAATAACAAAACAAATTACAGATTTCACCAGAAAACCGCGAGACGGATTTGTTAAGCCTAATTAATCCGTCATTAGTAAATGTTTACCGTAGCACTATATTGTCAAATCATGGCGCAATTAAGCTTAAAAGATTTGTCTCGTAATTTACACACAAACTGTGTAATTGGTTTTTTTTTTCTAAATTTAATACTCTATGCATGTGTCCAAACATTCGATGTGATGGTTGAAAAGTTTTTGTTTTTTTTTCCTCCAAATCAGGCAGAACCCTATATTTGAGGACGATCTCACTGCCATGCTCTTCCAAACTTCCACAAGCTTGGGCGCAATGCCGCGACCTTAGTGATAATTCCTTCAAATCAGGTTGAACCCCAAGCTCTTTCTCTCCTTCACATGGTTGCCCCTAATCCGCATCTTTAGCGCTAGCCATGGTGGCCGATAAGCTCGATCTCTACTTCCACGAGGGCCACTTATAAAGAAATAGAAGCTGGTATAATGTGCAATTTATTCTTTGGAAAGATAGGAATAGAAAAGGAACAATATTGAAATATATGTGCTCGCAGATCCCAAAGGAATCTAAAAACATAGATGCAATCCAAATGAATTCGGCTATCCTTAATGCTATCTTCCAAACAACCTGGATAATTAGAAAAAAAGAAAAAAAGTACAAATTACGTCCCGAACTATGACGACAATATGAATTACCCCTGAACCACAAAATCAGACATTTTATATCCTGAAATATCTATACTGGACGAATAACCCCCCTCGACCCAATCCAAATCGGTATTGTCCTACATAACGTTCACGTGGTAATCTAGTCATCATTTTTTTTAAATGCTGGGGCCCACCTGTCATACTCTCCCACCTCTCTCTTCCCCTCTTCCTCTCAATCTCTCTCTATCTCTGTCTCAGATATCGTTGGGAGCGACAAGTTGGTGGCCGGCGATGGGCGTGCCAGGGGCGCGGCAGGCGGTGGGCGTGGCTGAGCCCGTGTCCCCCTGCTGCCGCGCCGCCTTGCTGCCCCCCTGTCGCGATGGAGGGCGGCGAAGTGGCGAGGGTGGAGGCGGAGGTCGTCTCCGCCCTTCTGCTCCGAGCCCCCGGCGACCGCCGCCATCACCACCACCCCGTCTGAGTTCGTCATCATCATCTTCAACCTGGGGTCATCGGTCTCTCTCTCTCTCTCTCACCCCTCTCTCGGGCCGTCGGGTGGTCAGCGTGCACAGCAGCGGGTCGACATGGCCGTGTCTCTCTTCATCCTCGGCTTCTCCCTCCGCGTGTGGTGGGCGGCAGCGACGGGTCGACATGGCCTCATCTCTCTTTGTCCTCAGCTTCTCCCTCCGCGTGTCGTCACCTGGCTCCGAGTGGTGGGCGGCGTCGACCAGCGTGGCGGCAGCTGTCGACGTTTGATGTCACGATTCCGGTATTTGCATAGTATGGGGATCATTGATACCAGGATATATGCGAGATTGAGGTAAAAGAGACGGAGACGAGGATTTTTATACAGGTTCGGGCCCCCTGAATTGTCAGGTAATAACCCTTCATCCTATTGGCCGAAGCCGGTATTGCTCTTATTCACCATAATCACACTCGTACAATATTTGGGGTAGCCTATCTAAGTGTTGTCGACATGGCGGTCTGAATGTCTGACTCGTAGTCGACAACAGGGTAGCCTTCCTCCTCGAATCCGCATCCGGCGAGATCAGAGACAACGCTATATCTCTCCTGACGGTATCCGTAGGCACCGTAGGGGACTAGTCATGCCTATCTCTGAAGTCGATATCTAGTGTCTTGTCTTGGCGTATGTTGGCTTGTATGTTGTGGCTTCTGTTGTTCCGTGTTCACTCTCCTCCTAGGGGGCTTTGTATTTATACCCATAGGTGTCCTCTTGTCCAAGTAGAACTAGGGAAACCAATATGGATACAATCCGAGTAGTCCTTGTCATTTTCATGTAGAACTCTAGTTATCCTTCCTTATGCGGAACTCCTCCTATATTCGAATATTGTTTCCGTATAAGACATGGTATGTGGTGGGTCCTGCCGAGATTTAGTCAACTACTATTAAGTATGTGGTATCCATAACCCTGACAGCAGCGGCGGCGACGTTCTTGATAGGGTTTGGGTCGTCCAGTGCAGGTCGAGCACACGGCGTTGCGCGCGGGCGGGGGTGGGGGGGGGTGGGCGGAGGGAGGGTGCGGGACGCGGACCGCGGGCTACGGGCGTCGGCGAGGAGGGCGCTAGAGGCGATGGGGCTATAGTGTTGCGGACTCACGGAGAGGGCGCGAGAGGCGGCGGGTTGCGGCGAGGAGGGCGCTCCCTCGCTGGTGCATCCTCCAACCTCATCTGCCCCTCTCCCCACGACGATGACAACGAAGCCCGCCTCCTCCAACGCCCTCCTCACCGCTTGCCGCCCGCGTGCCATTCTCGCGCTTTGTCGCCACCCCCCGCATGCCAACCGCCCGTTCGCGCGCCGCCGCCGCCGCCCATAGCCCGTCCACGCACGCCCGAGGGAGTGAGGGGGGAGGGGAAGAGAGGTAATGATAGGTGGGCCCTATATTTTCTTTTATTTCTTTTTGCTGATTGGATTTCCACGTCGACGTCATGTGTATGCCACGTAGGAGAAAAACAGCTCAGGATTGAGTCGGAGGGGGGAGGGGGGCGGGGGAGTTCATCCGGTATCAATAGTTTAAGGTGTAATATGTCTGGTTTTGTGGTTTATGTGGTAATTCGTACTGTCGCAATAGTTAGGGGGGAGGGGGGTAATTCGTACATTTTTTTTCTTAGAGAAACAAACATCTAAGGATTTGAATTCTTTGAAACTCCTGTGAAAACCTTCAAATCGAAAGGTACATTCAGGAGGCCATTATTCATGTGCCAAAAAAAGGCGACCATTATTCGTTTCATTTCGTAGCATTCGTCGGTGAGGAATTGGGATCAGGTGCAGTGAGGGGAGGCATACTGCACAGCAGCTGTAGGTGGGACCCTGTAAGAACGTGCCACGTGGTCATCTGATACATCCATATGAAGTCTACAGTCAGATGCCTTGACTTCAGCTGCATAGAAAGTCGTTTTGAACAGCGATGCGATCTCTAAAACATAATTTTAATTTTTTGTTTCTATAAAAATATTTATTGAAAAGTGGCATATATATTTTTA